TTTGGTGAGGTGGGGAAAATGCACATGAAAATAGTTTTTAAAAAGTTTCAGAGCCATTGATTTCATCACAGCACAGTGAAGCTCATAGGATTCTCACAGCTGGGTTTGTGGAGAATAGAAAGAGGAAACACTACAAAATCCTGCATTAAGTCTGTCAGACATCATTTATGATAATAACAATGAAACCCAACTTAGGAGCTAGCGAGATTAGCAAGTGATCACAGACAAAAACCCTCATACAATTCTGGAGAAACATGAAAAGATTTAGAGAATTAACTAACCAAAATAAAAGGAGTAAAGAAAAGAAAATTTTGACCTCCTCATTCACCAGTCACTATAACTGAAATTCTATATCCACCTGTGAAGAGCTCCACCATTGCTCCAAAGTATGTTTATGTCTCTTGACAGATCTGTCTCTTCTTCCTATTTGGAAATAAGTGGAAGTCAGGAACTATCAATTTCCACTTCCTGACTCCAGCATCTAGCATAGCACTTTGGTGGAGGTAGTGATGAAGCTCATTAGTTCTACCTGAGAATTCTCTGGAGTCACCTTTGGTTAAAGTCCTGGCTCTGCCACTTACTAGTGGATTGACTATGGCTGAGTTACTTGGTGCTGCCCAGAACCATTACTGATAAAATGGATGCACAATGTCTACCCCTCCACTGTGGTCCATAAAAGCTGCAACGATAGGCAAAAGATTTAGTTCAGTAACTTGCATATAGCATTCAACAGGTGGCAAGTATCATAACATCTCAGTAAATCAATATATAGATGGCTGGTGTATTGAGATGTGATTGACAGAAAGTGTAAGTAAGGGAAAAGCCAAATCTGCCCTTCAGAAGCGCCCCTCCTCAACCCAACACCCAGGGCTGATGACTGGTGCCACTGCCAGGGCACAGATAGGCTCAGCCACAGTCCCCTGGCTCTAGGCATGGCTGCTCCCAGAGATGGCCAAGGTGATTCCAGGCCCTTTCATAATCACTGTCCTGCTGAAGCCTACCAGATTCTTTCCCCTTCCAGTTTCTTATTCCATCAAACCTAGTTCAATTTCTTTCCTGACTTAAATAGTAGCGCTTTCACAAATTAAAGAGCACACATAAATCTCTGACTCACACATACTTTTTCAATGTGCATCTAAACTGTATGACTTTATTCACACAATCCTGTCATCTGGACAACTACAAATTCGGAAGGAAGAAGGGAGGGAGAAAGGTGAGGCGTGGAGGAAATTTTAGGTAGCTCTTTAAAATTAAAAATATTGCAATGCTAGTAAAAAAAAGATTTAGGGCAAGAATAAAGAAAAGACTTTCAAGATTAAGTGCAAAAGCCATATAACTTATAGAACTGCTAATAGAACAGCTATACTAACCCTAAAACGGGAGGACAGCAGCAGAGAAAGTAAGCTTGACTATCCAGGCAGAAGATCTGATCACTTTTTACACACGAGAGAGCTGAGGCCCTAATAGAGTAAATAATTTTGTTCGTCACTGCTTCCTTTCAAAGTGTGGCTCACAGACAAGCAACACCTAAGAGTTTGGTAGAAATGCAGAACTGCAGTCCATACCCCACACCTACTGAATTAGAATCCCTGTCCGGTCAAATCCACAGCTGATTCATCTGCATAGTAGAGTCAGGGAAACACTAATGTGTGTAGTTTGATGCTAATAAATTCACAAGGTGAGTCATTTAAAATCAGTGCTTTATTTTTCTGTAAGTTGTACAACTAATTATTGATTTGTTAGAAAAATTTAAATCTCTTGGCTCTAAAAAATTCACCTATGAATTTTAAGTCAGGTTGCTACCTCCTTCATGACTCTGTGCCAATACTGGTTATAGAGACGACTATCAGCAAGTTTCCTTTTCCCGACACCAAAACGCAGAGCATTCTGAAGACCACGTGAAGGCACGCAGCACCCCCGGGACAGTGCGCTGTGGGGTAATGCCAATGTGAGTGTCAACCACCCGGTGTGACTAACCCGGTGGAGGGTTACACGCATCGCCCACTCACTATCACCCCTGCTGTAGTAACGAGTCACAGAGGAGGGCAGGGAAACCCCTCAATGGGGGAAATCAGCCAATATCCTGAGTTATTAGAAAGCCTCTGTGGTCAGACGTGTAGTTAATGACTTGTAAGCAGACTGTGTAAATAAAATGTGGTGTTGAGTAATTTTCAGTAACAAGCATTACTCTATGTATGACTAAGTGCTGAATTCATAATTTTGGACTGTTTATAAATATTTAAAGAATGAATAAACTTAAGGGAGGTCTGAGGAGCATAAAGAGGGAGAGCATGGACAACTGACCAAAGGCTGCACAGAAGTACGAGTGTGGACAGTGAGAACAGGGAGGTGACACAGGTGCGACAGAGCACCACACAGGTCCTCCCATGTGTCAAGCCCTGACCAGGGGAGTTAGAGACATAAAAGGCAACGCTCATAACTCGAAACATGTGAAATACAAACCCAGAAGTAAAATCACGGACCTTGAGTCTCCTACTTATGAGACACAAAGGCTTTTGAGGAATTCAATAGAAGAACTACAAGGTAGAGCCTCAATCCCTCCCAGCAAGACGGGGACTTGAAACAACCTTGGAGACTGGAAGATACAACAGAGGTCAGGAAAGCCCAAGGCATAATAGAGGAAATCTGGAGGAAACAACAAGAAAAATCTCTGCTTCCTGTACAACACAACCGATTCCCAAAGGACCCCCAGTCTCCCAGGCAGAGACCCCCAAGATCATGGGCCAGCAGGCCTCTCCCTGGTCTCCTTCCCTCCCTGCTGAGGAAGACTCTGTAACCACATCAAACGCTCTCATTTAAGACTGACTGACTGCATTGACAAAGCCTCTTATTCCCATTTTACATATATAAAGAGGGCCAACCTACACAAATAGTAAAAGATCACTAACACTCCAATACTAATGGTATCATTTATCCCAAACAACACATTATATCTGAAGGAAAGCAATGTCCATGAGGAGACTGAATATAAGAATGTATAAGAGACAGGTTACACGCGACTTCTCTCAGAGATGTCCGAATCCTGGGACCTGGGAATATGCAGGCTGACACCCTCACAGAGTGAGAGACAGAGGGTGGACATAGAGAGATTATCCTGAATCATCTTGCCAGGCTCCATGCAATCGCAAGTGCTTGTAAGAGGGAGGCAGGCACAAACGCAGAGAAGGTGATGAGACCCCGCGGGAAGGAGAGGGCAAAGACCCTGACAGGCAGTCAGGAGCCAAGGAGCACAGCCTCTGGAGCCTGTGACAAGCAGACGGGTCTCCTTGGAGCCTCCACAACCTTTGTTTTCAGGCAGACTGATTTGGGATTTCTGCCCTCTACAAGTACAAGATGATTGATCCATGTCATTTCAAGCCACTGAATCTGTGGGAATCTGTCACAGCAGCCATAGGAAAGCAATCCACATTTTGGTGTCTGGAAGTAAGGTGCTGCTTGTTATCAACATCCAAGAATGAGGAAGCATCCATGGAACTGGTCACTGTGTGGAGAATGTTGAGCGCTCTGACGTAGAAAGGCTAGCTGCATAGAACACAGAGTTGAGGAATACGGGTGCCCAAGACTGATGCTCTAAGGGGGAAGTGAGGAGCATGGAAGAGAAAACCTAGAGAGAATGCCTAATGCATCACACACTGACAGACTGCAAAAATACGAATGTCAAAAGCTAACCCTGTTCATCAAGGCTCTGAAGGAAGCCAGGGCCTTGACAATGGAAACTGGAGAGAAGAGGATTCTTGTTACATAATGCAGATAGTGAGAAGAGAAACTACATGAGAATGTTCTGAAATGTCTGAAAGACATTAACGCAACACAAGGAAGATAACAAACAGAAAATTATACATAGGTCAAACTGCTGAAAACAAAAGTAGAAAAATAAAGGCAGTGAAACATGTTTAAAAAACTGCCCCAAAAATCTGGGAATGTAGACACTTATAGCAATGCAAAACATCCCTAAAAAATGAAAGTGAAACATAGCATTCCCAGACAAAAAAAGCTGAGAAAATGCATCTTGCACTACAATAAAAGTTCTTCAGATTAATAGGACAATAGCACAGAGAAGAACCAAGATGTACAGCAAGGAATCAATGTCAGCAGGGTAAAAATCAAGAGAAACAGGAAACAATACAGTTTTCATTTCCTCAAAAGATAATTGAATATTTGAAGTAAATATTGCAATATATTATGGAATTATAAAAGGAGAGGCAAATAGAATTACAGTAATATAAGGTTGTTAAATACTGCATAAAATTGTATAAGATTTTTTCATGGTGATGTGTGATGATTAATTTTGCATATTATAATCTAGAGTAAGATTAACTATGCATATTATAATCTAGGGTAACCACTTAAAACTCATATAAAGTGAAACTAAACAGCAATGGAGAAAAGAAAATAGATGACAAAAATAAAAGCAATAAACCTCACTTTTAAAATAATAGAATAAAGAATAGATTAGGGAAGAAATAAAAAAGATGACAGCATTAAGACCAGTCATATAAGTAATTACATTAACTGGAAGTGAATTTAATACTCCAGTTAGAAGACAGAGACTTTAAATCTGGGTTAAAAAATAGACCCAACTCTGTGCTTTTTATGAATGTTCCATCTGTATCAGGACAGTGAAAGTAAAATGATAAAAATGGTATTTATTACTTTTGAAACACTAATCATAAGCCAGTATGTCTATATTATTATGAGAAAAGATAAACTTCAAGAGAAATATCACCAGTGATCAAGATGAGTATTTCACTTAACAAAGCCCAAGCTGGTTCTCTGCTTCCACTAAGATTGCTAAATCTCTTTTTATTTTGTATACCATTTCTGAGGTTTATGAGCCCCTGGGCTGGCTATGGGGCTAAAAGCTTCTTTTCAAATTCATATTATTTTAACACTCAATGTTTTTGCATAGCCTATGCAGTCCTCTTAATTCCTGACAACTGTTTTTTTAACGACTACTCAGTTCTTGGAACTCATCCTACCTGAAACTTCACCTTCTGATTGATGTCTGACAGTCGGAACTGTTTCAGGAAGCGCTCGTCCTCACTCCAGAAGAGGCGGATGTCAGGGATGTCGTAGAGGATCATGGCCAGCCTTTCTAACCCAAGGCCAAAAGCCCAGCCGATGCGATCTTGGGCTCCAGCTGCGAATAGAAAACAAAACAACTGTGTGGGAAATGATGAAGACTAGACAGGCACAAGCTACTCCATGGACAGCATCGGTAGCCCTGAGTGCCGAGAGTGGCAACACTTGGGGGCAGCACCCTGGATGCACCCAAGTTTTCTCTGTGCCTCCACTTTCCTTTTTTCTGGAATCCTTTCTTGCTTTGATTAAAATATTCATCCTACTTTGTACAGGTTACAGAAGAGAAAGAGATAGCAGGCTCTGTGCCTGAGTGGCTCACTATGTAGAGATCTCTATTCAAAATGCACCATAGGGGACTGTTAACATGCAGAAAGTATGTGTCGGTCTTTCAGCACCTTGACTTCATTGAAACACCATAATAATTACTCTTGGTAAGAGCCACCTCAGCAACACATGCAGTGAAATGCAGGTCTAGCACCATTTACTCCAGAGGAGAAGCATCTGTTCAGGTTATGTCCATGCCATGAATTCGAAGGGTGTATTTCACATATGTGAAGCACACTGAGAGAGAAAATAGAAACTGCTCTACAGAGGGAGGCAAGGGTCAGGTCACACTGCTGGGAAAGCTTATAAAAGTGCTCCAGAAATGAATGCAATTTCAAATAAACACTAAAGGATGAGAAGGATCCTGAGGTAGGCTGAGATAGTTTCTGAAATTCCAAACGGCCATGTGACCTATGAAAATGACACCTTTCATCTGGAACTCATGAAAAGCGAGCTTTACATGACATGCCATGTGTGTGGACTGCAGCCCCTGCTGCTGTGAAAGGGTACAAGGCCGTGGTGAGGGCAAGAGGGGCTCCAGCAGCTGGAGAGAGCAGAACACAGGAGCCTCACCCCTATAGTCACCGGGAACAAACTCTCCCAACAGCCTGTGGGGCTGAGCTCAAGAAGAGACTTCAACTTGGTGAGACCCTAAACCAATCCATAACCACCTTGCTGGTGCAAAGGCACCACGACAATAAATCTGTGCACTTGTAAGTTACTGAACGTGAGATAATTTGTTACTGGGGGTGGAGGTGACTGATCTAGACTGGAGATGCAGAGAAAAGCGACAGGAAACAAAGGGAGCCTGAGGAGTGGCACTGGAGCAGACAGGTGAGGCTGGGGGGCAGAAAAGAGAGGGCAACCTGCTGCAGACACCGCCGCCGCCACTGTCCTTCACAACTGAAATGACAAGGCTAAGAGGAGACGCAGGAAATGTGAGACTTGCCTGAAGATTTGCGTAAGGGATGAAGAAATAAAAAGTATTCAAAGTGCCACCAAGACAAGAAAATGAGAGTGAGAGCGGTGAGGGCTCAGTCCGTGGGCAGGAGGGGCACACAGGAGAGCTGGTGTTCCGCGGAGCGTCCCAGTAAGCCAGCAGCCAGATAGGCACCGAGCCCTGGAACAGCGGCTCGCAGCAGTGGGAACAGCTCCCACCGAGGGGCAGCTGCCAGACAGCAGCTGATGCCAGGGGAAATATTTCAGAATGCAGCCCTGAAAGAGAGCCTGTGACCAACTGACAATGCAAAAAATAAAGCAATGATGTCACGTTTTAAGCCACTAAAAGATCTTGTTTTGAGGAAAAAATATTATGCCCAATCCTGGCAATGCACTTAGTTTCAGTATTGTCATTTATTGCTGGTTACAGTTTAGATTTTTATAACAATTTGTGGATTTCATCACAAAGAAGTAGTACTTCCAGATTGATCTATAAAAGCCCTACACTGAAATATCAAACCAATTATTCAATGCTTACTGTCACTTCTATGGCTGTTTCATCATGAACTAGAAACAAATCAGATCAGTACCTTTTGAAGGACACTTTGAGTAGCAATGACATGAATGGTGTAGAGTATGTTTACAGCTTGACACATTCCAATTTAAGAAGTTCCACTGCAAACTCTCACAGACTCCTAAGGCTGAGAATCTTGAGACTGGAGAACAAAATATAACCCCAAGCATAGCACAAAAGCCTCCTGTCCCATTCACCCTGGATTATTCCTGGTCCTCTAACCACAATACTTCCTTGACACAATATACTTGTCCTTCTTACCACTCATCCTGCTTCCCAAAGCGCATACTTGTCTCTCTTCCTATTGTCCCTTAAAGCCTGACTAACATATTCCTGCTGTGAGATTCTCCCTCTGCCCCTCAAAGGTAGATTTTGTTTGCCTTCATCTCTCTCCTCACAAACAAGATGCACATACTTCGAGGGGCAACCACCACCCTGACGAGTCTCTCTCCCAGCTAACTCAAGAACACAATTAAAAGGAAAATATTATTGAAAGTTAAGTCTCAACACAATGATGCTGATCAGAAGAAACACTAGGAAAAAAGTAATTAAAAGTACAAGTCTAAATCAAATGATCCAAAGGCATAAGGGGGAAAAAGCCCAGTCCCCCTTTTGCTACTCTCCCCCCAAGCTGAGACAGGAGCTGTGAGCATAGCATCACTCTCAGCCAGGCCGAGTGCAGTTGTCCTGCAACAGCAAGCCTCAGACAGGGGCACTGAGGCTTCTCCCGAGGTGGCTCGGCCTCCTATGTCCAGAAGTTGAAGGAGACCTGCTTTAGAATCAGGGACAGGGACAGAAGAGGAGCATTAGCAGCAGGAAACCACATCTGCAACAGATCGCGAGGGCTGTTCAAGGAGATGAAGTTCTCACCAGGAATAATGCTTGCGATTCAATTTTAGTTTCTTGCACCTGGATAGCTACAATGATTTAACATCAATTAGTCTAAAATTAAAGTCATTATTCAGATTGGCTAAGAATCAACAACTCAACGACAACAAAAACCCAGTTGTTTGCCCATATAATTTCCAATTACTTTTCTCAGGAGGCTCACTAGTGAAGGGGACTAAGGATGGAGGGAGGGGGAAGAAGGTGTAAAAAGAATTAAGATGTGCTATATACACGTACCAACCCCTCATGAATGTAATCATTATGTATTGCAAACATGTATTAATAAAAATTAAAATTAAAAAGGAGGCTCACTAGGAAACTATCCTGCTTAAAGTGAGATACATTAGGCCTGTTTTATTGGAAAAGTCCAGTGGCTTCCATAGCAAACTGACAGGACCATGCGGAAATGATTAAGGTGATACTAGGGACATGCATGGCTCATGGCTGGTCCCTCCTGGGTGTCAGCAGGGACCAGCTGAGATGCTCTTCTGTAGACAGAATCATGACCCTTCTGAGAGGACTCAATGCTAAGGTGAATGAAGAGCCCACTCCATCAAGCCTGAAATCCCAACCACCTTTCATGTCAAAGCTATGAACCAGACCTTCATTCAGAACAGGCAGCACCTGGAGTACAGCTTCCTGCTAACACATACACCTGTTATTCTCACAACCAGCATGGTCAAAAAGATGCCTTGTGACAATCAATCATTAACAACGGGACAATCAAAGAAAGGACATGGCATAGGTACTGAGCTGTACCAGATTTTATCTTTGAAACATTTTGTAGCAGTCTCATCTAAACCTGCTTGTTGTGTGTGATGTATTCTCTTTCACTGTACCACTGGCCTACCAATCTGCACAAAGTAACCAGAGAAAAGGCTGGAGTGGCCAGGTGATGCGTATGAAACAGGTAAATGGACCAGCAGCCAGGAACTGTCACCATACAAGGCAAGCACCCCTGAATGCCTTTCTGCAGGTGAGCAGAGACCCCATGGCACAGAAACACAGGTTCATTCTACCACTCTGCTCTTTTCAGTCAGTGTTAGAGAGAGAGTAACTCAGGGAAAAGAATTAAATTTCAAATAGTGCTTTATGTTTAGTGCTAGAAGGAGAGCAATCTAAGGGAAATAATTCAATTTCAAATAATGTCTTGTGTTTAAGTGATTATCCCTCAGCTTATAAGAAAATAAAGCTTTTCAGACTAATTCTTTCTGCAGGTTTAGAATAATGAATTTAGAAAGTGAGTGGAGTTTAAAAGAAATCAGGAATAATTTTTAGTGCCTTTTCAACAGCTCTACTACAGGGAAATGGTCACTCCCATGTTTTCTAAGAGGCTAGGAAGAAAATCTACTCTTTTATCTACAATTCTTAATCGATGACATATTAACCTTTTGGAGACTGAGTGAAATCTATGTTCAGAACATAATTTAAAACACACTAAATGTAGGAGCTCACACATTAATTTTTCAGAGATGGATGCGAGTGTTAAGATGTTACAATATCGCTGTGCTGATGTTCTGCTTTCTTGGTCTCCTTACGTAGATAGCTCTGCCTTTTTAACTCTCATTATACAAATGAATAGCAGACTGTATTCTTAGTTCACATATAAAAAAATAAAGGGAATCCTAATACACATTTCTATTTTTTTCAGAGGCTGTACTATGAAAACGAAGAAAGATGAATAAAACTAATAGGTTTAAAATATAATAAAATGTAATTTCAGATGAACGCAACAGAAGAAAACCACAGATCGATATGCTTTGTGTATGTAGATGCAAACATTCTAAACAAATTATTAGTAAACCAAATTCAGTGGGATCTCGAAAGGGCTTCACACCTTGATCAAATGGGATTTATTCTAGGAAAACAAGTGTCATAATTTAGATCTAAAATGTTCCCCAATAAGCCTCATGTATGTGGAGTAGGGCTTTTGAAAGGCAACTGAATCATGGGGTATTATACTCATCAGCACATTAATTCACTGAAGAATCCATAGGTAAAGGTAGTGTTAGGAGGTAGGCCTAGTCAGAATAAGTGGAGGCTCACCGAATGTATACCTCGCTCCCCAGGTCCTCCCTTCTGTCTTTTTGCTTCTTGAATAGCTTTCCTCTGCATATCATTCCACCAGGCCATTTCTACCTTGGAGCCAGCAGAGAGAATCCTCTAAAAAGAATGAGACCAAATAAACCTCTCTTTAAATTGAAGGTATTGGCTATTTTTTGCGGCAATGAGGACATAACTCTAAGACAATAAGCAAAACTAGTGTAAAATATGAGAATTAATCAATGTAGTATCCTATTATTACATGGGTAACCCATGTAATGTCTAATGGA